CTCGAACCCGCGGGCTCAGGCAAGCCACTCACCTCAGCCTCCCAAAGGTGCGGGATTACAGGCTGAGCCACCGAGCCCAGCTAGTTTTGTCATTTGTAAACTGTGTTTCATAATTTCTGATACATACGTTGTGCTAAATGAGATGACTTGGCATTATGCCTTGTATATAACTGGCAGTTTTTTGTGTTTGTTATTATTATAGTGAAATTCTCTTTCTGATCTTTTTTTTTTCCTTTTTTTTGAGTCGCAGTCTCACTGTCGCCCAGGCTAGAGTGCAGTGGCATACTCACAACCACCGTAGCCTCAACCTGCTGGGCTCAGGTGATCCTTTCACCTCAGTGTTCCAAGTAGCTGGAACCACAGTCATGCGCCACCACGCCTGGCTAATTTTTTTATTTATTGTAGAGACGAGGTCTCACCAAGCTGCCCAGGCTGGTCTCGAACCCTTGGACTCAGGCAATCCTCTTGCCTCTGCCTCCCAAAGTGCTGGGATTACAGACGTGAGCCACCGTGCCTAACTTTCTTCCTGATCTTTAAGAGGAACTTCCTTTTTCCCTTATTGAATCTTTGTCAGAAGCTGAAGTCTTTGTGATTGACAGAATCCATAACTCTTTTAAATATAAAAGATATCCGTGGATCGCTATATGAGAAGCATTCAGCCAGTTACTATTTTGGTCGGTGTTTAAATAACCAACATGTATTTATATGACTAGTTAAAACCATGATCACAGAGCACAGTACCTCACGTGACCTTAGAGCTGTACCTTCTTATGTTTAAGCACAAGGGTTCAGAAATAGGACCTTGTCTAGTATAGAAGCCAGCAGAGTGAAATATTTTATTTTGCATTCATCATCCCTACAGCCTTAAACTTCTCTGTGTTTTATGTCACCTTGGGATTTGTTTAAAAGTCCCCGAGATGTGAAGGAGCATTGCTCGCCCTCATGAAGTCTTGATCTTTCTTAGGTGTCAGACTCTTGAAAGGAAAAATTCCGCAACCCCATCAGAGTTGAACGAAAAGCAAGAGCTTGTTTACAACAACAGAAAGTTAGAGCTGCAAGTGGAAAGCATGCGGTCAGAAATCAAAATGGAGCAAGCTAAAACAGAGGATGAAAAGTGAGTGTCCTCACTGGCGGGCAACGTGCCAGAGGACGTGGGATTGCTTTTTGATGCGGATTGGAATTAGGATTTGAGGATAAATTCATAGCATTTCTTTTTCTTTTTTTCCCCGAATCAGAGTCTTCCTCTGTGACCCAGGCTGGAGTGCAGTGGCACACACATGGCCACTGCAGCCTCAACCCGCTGGGCTCAGACAATCCTTCCGCCTCAGCCTTCCAAGTAGCTGGAACCACAGGCACATACCACCACGCCTGGCTAATTTTCTGATTTATTGTAGAGGCAAGTCTCATCAAGTTGCCCAAACTGGTCTCGAACCCCTGAGCTCAGGCAATTTTCTCACCTCCGCTTCCCCAGTGCTGGGATGACAAGTCATCACGCCCAGCCAGCATTTCTTTTTTACTTATTTGAAGGTGTATTGGGAGACTTTTCAGAGGGGATAAAAATTAAAATTTTATCATAAAGTTATGCAAATTATTTGCATTCTTTTTTGGGGGGACTTTTTTTTTGGAGAGAGAGAGTAAGCCATGCTAGTAGAGGGCTGGGCATAGTGGCTCACACTTGTAATTGCAGCACTTTGGGAGGCTAGGACGGGAGGACTGCTTGAGCCTAGGAGTGCAAGGCCATCCTGGGCAACATAGCAAGACCCCATCTCTACAAAATAAAATAAAATAAAATAAATTAGGCCGGGCATGGTGGCTCACACCTATAATCCCAGCACTTTGGGAGGCTGAGGTGAGAGGATTACCTGAGCCTACGGGTTCGAGACCAGCCTTGGCAACTTGGTGAGGCCTCATCTCTACAATAAATAAAAAAATTAGCCGGTCATGGGGTCCACCTTTAGTTCCAGCAACTTTTCCAACTTTGTCGTTGTAGAGACAAGGTCTTGCGGAAGGATTGCCTGAACCCAGCAGGTCGAGGCTGCAGTGGCCGGGAGCATGCCACTGCCCTTCCAGCCTGGGTGACAGAATGAGACTCCAACTCAAAAAAAAAATGAGCCAAGCTTTGTGGCATACACCTGTAGTCCCAGCTACTCAGGAGGCTGAGGCAGAAGGATTACCTGAGCCCAGGATGTGGAGGCTGCAGTGAGTCATGTCCATACCACTGCACTCCAGCCTGGGCAACATGGGAAGACCTTGACTCAAAAAAAGAAAAAGAAAAAAAGGAATGCTAGCAGGTGGTGGGATGGTTAAGGTAGGTGAGATTTTTCTACTTGAGTGTTCAGAAGGTTGGGAGGCAAGATTACAACTTTCTATGATATACTCTCTCAGATTCTATTTTTTGACATCTTTTTTAATAGGTCCAAATTAGCCATCCTACAGTTGACACACAACAGGCTTCTCCAAGAACATAATAATGCCTTGAAAACAATTGAGGAACTAACAAGAAAGGAGGTATTTGTAGACAAAAAAATGACTTCTACAGCCTACTAATAAATGGAAACTGTTGAATATTCTATATGTGAAATAGTTGCATGATACCTTAACCAAGTATAGCTTCTTTTTTTTTTTTTTTGAGTCAGGGTTTCACTTTGTTGTCCAGACTGGAGTGCAGTCACGGATTTCAGCCTGCAGGGTTCAGGCGATCCTTCTGCCTCAGCCTTCCAATTAACTGGAACCACAGGTGTGCGCCGCCATGCCCAACACATTTTTTCTTTATTATAGAGACAAGGTCTTGCCAAGTTGCCCAGGCTGGTCTCAAACCCCTGGGCTCAGGCAGTCCTCTCGCCTCCACCTCCCAAAGTGCTGAGAGTACAGGTGTGAGCCACCACACCCGGTCAACCAAGTGTGGTTTCAGAGTTGTTTTCCAGTTTATCATTATTTCTTGTGTTTATATGTTTATAACTTCTGTTGTTCCTTCCATGTGTGTCTAATATGTTCTGTTGTGTGTGAAGATGGTGCTCATGGCCCAGACTGGGTAACGTTCGGTATTTCTGGTAGCTTCGTAGGAGAGCTGCGAACATCAGTTCCCATGGGCCACAGGGCCTGTCTGCTGCGCAGAACTGTGCCAGGCTGGCTTGCCTACTGTCCGTGGACTGAGGACCTTGAACTCATTGACAAACAATTTTAATTACTAACAATGCCCAACATGGTGTAATAATTTACAGACCATGGAAGCTTTGAATTAGAAAAGGTCTTTGAATTTTTATCTTTGTAAATATACTATTTGTTTTTCATTTCTTTTCTAATAGAATAGTTTTTCTCTCTTGGGCCTAATAGATTTTAAGCTTTCACATGCTTCTTTTTTTCTACTCATTTCACCAAGTAAGAGACACATGTGGAAAGATAACAGTATCAGTTAATCGCAGCCTTATCGAGATTGGCGTTTGTTATATTGTTTCCCTGATTTTTGTGTTATTTTTACTATTATATATTAATTATATTATTATTTTTCAGAGACAGAGTCTCAGTATGTTGCCAGAGTGGAGAACAGTGGCTATTCACGGGCACAATCATAATGCACTACACTACAATACGACCCGGACTCCAGGCTCGTGCCACTGTGCCTGGCATTTTTAAAAAAATTTATTTTATTTATTTTATTTTTTGAGTTAAAGGCTCACGCTGTCACCCATGCTGGGGTGCAGTGGCACGCTCAGATTATCCTTCTACCTCAGCTGTACAGGTAGCTGGAACCACAGGCACGTGCTACCATGCCCAGCTAATTTTTTGACTTATTGTAGAGACAAGGTCACACCAAGTTTCCCAGGCTGGTCTTGAACCCCTGGGCTTAGGCAGTCCTCTTGCCTCCACCTCCAAAAGTGCTAGGATGACAGTGTGAGCCACCATGCCCAGCTCTATTTGTTTTTTTTTTTTTTTTATTATTTATAAACAGAGTTTATTAACCAGAAGATTAGAAGGGAAAAGGAAGATTCATGGCAGCAAGACCTGCCATGGACAAGTTTCTCATAAAGAAAAATCACCATGCCTGGCTTTTTAAAAAAGTATTGTAGGTTTTTTGTTTGTTTGTTTTGGGGTTGGGATCTCACTCTGGCTCTTCCCAGGCTGGACTACATTGGCACACTCATGGCCACCACTGCCTTGACCTGCTGGGCTCAGATGATCCTTCTGCCTCAGCCTTCCAAGTAGCTGGAACCACAGGCGCACACCACCACACCCAGCTAATTTTTTGATTTATTGTAGAGACAAAGGCTCACCAGGTTACCCAAGCTGGTCTCAAACCCCTGGACTCAGGCAGTCCTCTAGCCTCAGCCTCCCAAAATTCTGGTATTATAGGCGTGAGCCCCACACCCAGCTTTTAAAAAGTAGGAAATTATTATTTGTAAGCCATAATTAAATGGTTACAACTTTCTGAGTAAGTTAGTATTGCTAATTAACAGACTAGTTTAGAGCTGTTTAATTTTTTAGAAAACAACCTGTCTTATATTTTACTAAGTTAAGCTGAATTATTTCAACACAGTTTCTAGAATAAACATGTTTTTTGTTATAGTCGGAAAAAGTGGATAAGGCAGTGCTACAGGAACTGAATGGAAAACTAGAGCTGGCAGAAAAGGCCCTGGCGTCCAAGCAGCTTCAGATGGATGAGATGAAGCAGACCATCGCCAAGCAGGAGGTGGACCTGGAGACCATGGCTGTCCTCAGGGCTCAGGTGAGGCACGTCTGAAACACCAGCTGAGGGGGGCCGGCCCCAACTGGATGCTCAAATGGGACAGTGGCGTGTTGAAATATTGTTTTTATTTTATATTTTTCACCAATGAATTTTTTAAACTTCTACATGGAAACATATGGAAAGTATACCAGATGCTTAAGGGTATAGCTCAGTAAATTTTATTTATTGCTTTACAGTTGATAGATAGTTGAGTTATTTCCAGTTGGTGGCATTATGGTTAGTGTTGCTATGACATTCCTATATGTGTCTGTTTGTCCACATAAATACTTGTTTCTTTTTTTTTTTTCTTTTTTTTTTTGAGTTGGAGTCTCACTGTCGCCCAGGCTGGAGTGCAGTGGCACGCTCACGGCCACTGCAGCCTCTACTTTTGGGCTCTAGCAATCCTTCCGCCTTAGCCTTCTAAGTAGTTGAAACCACAGGTGTGCGCCACCACACCCAGCTAATGTTTTAGTTTATTGTAGAGACGAAATCTCGCCACGTTACTCAGGCTGGTCTCAAACCCATGGACTTAGGCAATCCTCTTGCTTCCAACAAAGAGCTGGGATTACAGGCGTGAGCCACCGTACCCGACTGTGCACTCATTTCTGTTGGGTACACACCTAGGAATGGAATTGTGGGTTCGCTGGCTATGCATGTTATTGAGTTCTCTTAGGTAATGCCGAACAGTTTTCCAAAGTGGTTGGACCAGTGTTCATTCCCCTCAACAGAACTTCCATTGCTCTACATTTTCCCAGCACTTGTATTATCAGTCATTTTACTTTTAACCCTTCTGGCAGGTGTGTAGTGGTCTCTCATTTAATTTGCATTTCACTGATGATTCACAGGATTGCATCCTTTTCAAGTGTTTACTGGCCTCCTAGACATCCTTTTTTGTGCCGTGCCTCAGCAAGTCTTTGCCCATTTTTTCTTTTGGTTCCCCGGGCTTTTTTCTCGATTTAGTGAGTTCCGTATATATTCCACATACTGATTCACTGTCATAAAGGTATCTTTTGAGGAAAAAAGTTCTTAATTTTTAAAAAATTTGTATTATAAAGATGTGGGGTACATTTCAGGGTTAGGTATATAAACATCGATCATGCAGGTACCCTTGTAGATGAGGTGTGCCCCTCCCACCCCTAGCAGTTTCCCTCAACTGCCAATCTCACGCCCCCACAGTTTCCCACTACTGCCAATCGCTTTCTTATAGCATTATAATTGTTCAAGGTCATCTTATGAGTGAGAACATATGGAACTCTGTTCTTTGTTTCTGTGATAAATCACTGAGTATGATTGACTCCAAATCCATCCAAGTTGCTGCAAAATCCATGTATTTGTCCTTAAAAGTTCTTAATTTTAAGGTAGTCCAATTTATCGGCCTTTTCTTGTATCTTCAGTATTGTTGTGTCCTGTTGGAGAAAGTTTTATTGCCCCAAGGCCTTGAGGATATCCTCCCCCATTGCCTTCTAAAAACTTTGTTGTTTTCTCTTTTTACATTAAGATGTACAAACCATCTAGAATTGACATTTCTTTTCAGAGTGAGGTAAGGGTAAGAATTCATATTCTTTTCCCATATGAGTATCCAGTTGACTTGGCACCACTTAATACCAAAACCATGTTAAGTGCTCTGCAGCCCTCACCTCATAAGTTATATCCATGTATGCGTGGGTTTGTTTCTTTGGTACTAATTGTCTTGTTATAAAGCACCTAAAATTTGGAAGTCCTATAGAACAAGTCCTTCTACCTCATTGAATATTCTTCAAGAGGACTTAAGTTTCCCTTTCCACTTCCTTTTCATGGAAATTTTAGAATATGCTTGGTATTTTCCACGCAAACTACTAGGATTGTGATTGAAATTATATTAAATATATATGGACCAATTTTGAGAGAATCAGCCTCTTTATAAGATTGACTCCTCCAATCTATGAATATGGTTTATCTTCTTTAATTGTTCTCACTAATATTTTTAGTCTTCTTAGTAGAGACTTTGCTCACCTTTTATTAGACTTATTCCTAGATGGTTTTTACAATATTATTATAAAGGGCATATTTTTAAAACTTTATTTCTTAATGCTGGGCTGTTATATAGAAATACCACTGACTTTTGTATACTGACTTTGTATGCACCAAACTGTCTCAACTCATATTTGAATTCTAATATTTTAAAGTAATCTTTTGGACTTTGTACATTTGTACAAATCGTCAAGTAAAGTTGAATAATGAGTTTTATTTTTTCCTTTCCAGTCTTTTGTGTCTTTTCCTTGTCTTATTGCATTGGTGAGAGCCCACATTACAATAGAGTTGAGAGAGCAGGCAGCCTTGCCTTGCTCTCGGTCCCAGAAGCAATGCTTTCAACACTTCACCATTAAGCACTTGATGTGTGCTCTGGGCTTTTTTGGATATCATTTATCAGATTAAGCAAACCCTCTTGTCTTCCTTGTTTGCCAAAAATTGTAATTTTGAGTGAATGTTGAATTTTATTCAGGAAATTTTTTTTCTTTGTGTATTGCTATAATTAGATAATTATATGCTTTTTTTTTTTTTTTTTTAGTCGATTCTCACTCCTTCCCCCAGGCTGGAGTGCAGTGGCGCACTCATGGCCACCACAGCCTTGACCTGCTGGGCTCAGGCAATCCTTCTGCCTCAGCCTTTCTAATAGCTGGAACTACAGGCATACGCCACCATGCCCAGCTAATTTTTTGATTTATTGTAGAGACGAGGTCTCATCAAGTTGCCCAGGTTAGTCTTGAAACCATGGGCTCAGGCAGTCCTCTTACCTCGGCCTCCAAAAGTGCTGGGATTATAGGTATGAGCCACCATGCCCAGCCAACTATATGCTTTTTTACTTTAATTTGTTAATATGGTGAGTTACATAGGTTTTAAAATTTTTTTTCTGTTTTTGAGTCATAGGCTCACTGTCACCCAGGCTGGAGTGCAGTGGTGTGATCACAGCTTACCACATCCTCAACCTTCTGGGTTCAAGCAATCCTTCTGCCTCAGCCTTCTGAGTAATGGGACCACAGGTGCATGTCATACCATGCCTCGCTTATTTTTTTGATTTTTTTTTTTTTTTTGGTAGAGATAAAGTCTTTCTGTGTTGCCCAGGCTATTCTCAAACTCCTGGCCTCAGTGGTCCCGCCACACAGCCTCCCGAAGTGCTGGAATTACAGGTGTGAGCCACCACACCCAACCAATTTTTTAATAGTAAACCTTGCATCTCTCAAATTATCTTCTGTATATAGTGCTGGATTTCATTTGATTATATTTTGCTTAGGATTTTAAAAATCTTCATCCTTGAGTAAGATTGGCCTAGGATTTCCTTTGCTCATGTCCTTGTGGGGATTGGTTATCAGGGGTGTACTGGCATCGTAAAAACAAGTAGAAGCATGTTTCTCTTTTTATTGTCCTGTGGAAGCATTTGTGTGAGATTGACTTGTTGTGACTAAGTCTGGTCCATTCTTTTTGTGTGTGTGTGTTGGAGTTTTACTCTTTCACCCAGGCTAGAGTGCAGTGGCATTCTCACGGCCACCATAGCCTCGACCTGCTGGGCTCAGGCGATCCTTCCACCTCCGTCTTCCAAATAGTTGGAACTTTAGGCATGTGCCACCGAGCCTGGCTAATTTTTTTAAAACTTATTTTAGAGATGCGGTCTCACCAAGTTACCTAGGTTGGTCTCGAACTCCTCGGCTCAGGCAATCCTCTTGTCTCCGCCTCCTAAAGTGCTGGGATGACAGATGTGAGCTACCATGCCTGGCTTATTCTTTTTCTACTAAACTTTTTCATTCATTATATATTAATATATCTTGACCATCTCTTCATGTTATGACTTAGTCACATTTATTTTTGTTATTTATGTGTATATCATTTTTATGTGTTTGTAACTGTTGCATATTGTTCCAAAGTGTATATTATCATGATAGATTTAACCAGTTGTCTATTAATGGACATTTAGATTGTACCAATATTTTTACTATTGCCAAGAGTGTTGAAGTGAGCATTCTGGTAAGTGTGTCTTTGGCAATGTTGTACCCGAATCCTGAATCCAAGAGACCACCAAAGAGCCAGCTCCGATGCAAATCACACGAGGGTCTTTATTCAGGCTCGAGTCTGGGGTCACGTCCATTACCGGCGTAGCGGTACAGGAACGAGAGCCCCGACTCAGGTTTGCAAGCATTTTTTATACCTGATTTGGAAGCAGTGGGGTGGCATTACAGACTTGTCCATACAGGATTGGATGGAATTGTATGAGTGTGGTTACAGAGATACTGATTGGTTGGTTTGTGTTTGATTTGCGCGGGCACGGGCTCCGGCTGACCATGACTGACCACTAACGGTCAGACGGGCGGGGTGGAACCGGTTAGGTCTTCTGGAATGTTAGATAGTCGGAGGCGCTTGTAACATATTTACTCGGGGGGCCCAGGTCCGCACAGTCCTCTTGACTGTGCGTAAGCTGGACCCTGGGTTCGAGAACATGTTCACTAGAAGCTAAGGTTTGCATGGTCACCGTGACTGTGCATAGGTCAGCTCCGGCATGCAAGCAGGTTTGAATTAATACAGAGCCCACCATAAGGGTGGCTTGCTTGTCACAACTTAGACAGAGGGGAGTTTGGAAGGGACTTATTGTTTAACACTCGCACACTGCCAGCAGGGGTTACAGAAGCAGAAGAAGCCCGTTAACTTATTAACATAGATATTATGAGGTAAAAAAACCTAGAGGCGTGGGTAGAGATTTATAAACTACAACAAGCACTTCTTATACAACAATAAAGCTTTTAAGCCTCTCAGCACTTGTGGAATATGTATTAAGATGCAGAATTGGATTGGGTATGTCTATTTTCAAGTTAAATAGATATTACCAAATTGCCTTCCAAAAATGTATAACCCATCCAAGTACTAACCAAGCCCAACCCTGCTTAGCTTCTGAGATCGGGCACGTTCAGAGTGGTATGGACATTTTATCAGGCTTAAACCTAAACATTGCTTCATTGGAATGATTACAAATG